ACTGTTGGGCATATACCTGAAGGAAGGACATTCACACTACAAGGACATTGGCTCAAATATACTTATAGCAACATTATTCATACTAGCCAAAACTTTGGAACAGCTTAGATGCCCCTAAGCTGAAGAATGGATAAAGAAAATGAGGTATATTACACAATGGAGTACTACTCAGAGGTAGGAAACAATGATATCCTAAAATTTACAGGCAAATGGACAGAACTAGAAAAAAAACATTCTGAGTGAGGTAACCAAAAACTAGAAAGACAAATATAGTATGTACTCACTCATAAGTGGGTATCAGACATAAAGCAAAAGATACCCAGCCTATAATCCATAACCCCAGAGAAGCTAGAACCCTCTTACAGAAACAGATGGAAGCAGATGCAGAAATCTACAACTAACCAATGGGACAAGCTCCTGGAGTACAATCAAAGTGAGGGAGGAGTGATAATATGAACAAGGGAGTCAAGACCATAATGGGGAAACCCACAGAATCAGCTGACCTGAGCTAGTGAGTGATCACTGATTCAGGTCTGACAATTGGGGAACCTGCATAAGATCAAACTAGACTCCCTTAATATTGGTAACAATGGTGGGGTTGGGACAATATATGAGGCTATGGCAGGGGGTCCAAGATCTAACTCTAATGTACAAACTGACTTAGTGGATGGAGTCCATTCTATGTCGAGAGATACCTTGCCCAGCCTAGACACAGGAGTGTGGGGGTTGGAGAGGTGCCTTGATCCTTCTTCAGTGAAATGATGGCACAGAGTAAGTTGACTTCCTAGGGAAGGCCTTACCCTCTCTGAGGATCAGATAGCAGGAGAGGGGGTTGGGAGCAGAGGGAAGAGAGGAGGGAGGGGGAACTGGGATTGGAATGTAAAAAATAAATTAATAAAAAAAATGACCAGTGGCTATCCTGTGAAATGACAGAGAAATTACAGGACACTCGACAGGAGAAATGGGCAGACATTGTTAAGAATAAAAAGGAAATTCTGGACTTATTTAAATCACTAACTTGAAACTCTGTCAACAAAGCTATAGTTTAGGAAGACACAGAGTCATGCTTTACCAAAGGGTTTATGACAGAAAATTTTCTTCACACCTAAGTAGTTCTTTACCTTTGCAAAAGGCATTGGGATTGTGTTAAAGTCATCTTTCTCAAGTCTTCAAAAAAGATTTCAGAGTTTGTGCTTGTCACAATCCTTGATTCACTCCAGGGCAGGGAGGCAGCCATGTCTTCAAATCTTTCCACAGGATGCCATAGCTGAGGCACTGCACTGCTCAGACAAAGGACATTCCCAGAGCATGAAAAGCTGCTTACATACAGGAACATGCTTCAGAAATGCCACCAGCTGTGTGTGAATACGAACTGGAGAGAATTTTGTTTTAAAAACAGCAGTTTGCTGATGTGTTCCAGTAAGATGATTGATGGCACTGACTAGATTTTGGAAGGATCCTCAAGTAAGATTAACGTTCTGTAACAATAAATGCGATAAACCAAACGTAGACTCTTTTGGAAATGTAATATTGTAAACTGAATGTCTCTGCATCTTTCACTCTCAGAGACCCTGGATCTTGACTGTGATATTTATTATTACTTATGTATGTGTGTGAGGTGTATGTTGAATGTACATGCCCATGCTTACACATGCAGAGGCCAGATGTAGATGTGAGGTGTCCCTGCTGTCTTATAGTCTTGAGACATGTCTGTGGCGGAGGCTGAATCTCAATACAGCTGTGATGACCAGTCATCGAGCTCCACCTACCACTGTTGGGGTTACAGGCACTCAGGCACAAGCAGTTAGGGTGCTTTTTTTTTTCTTTTTTCTTTTTTTTGATGTCTGTGCTAGGTATTGAACTCACCTCCTCACACTTATACAGCACATTTACATACTCTGCTATTTCTCAGCCCCTCTGACTACAGTGTTGTAATGAGTGACCTATTTGCCTGTTTTCAAAAAATGTTTGATTCCCATTCATGTTCATTTATGTAAAATAGACATTGTTGTTCATTCCAAGCACACTTCTACTTAGAAAGCAAGGCTATGATGCCCATGTTTAAAAACATGCTTATGAAGAGAAGATCGTTTAAACTGGTAGGTAGTGCATGATCAGTACAAAAAGGAATTCTAAGGATTCCTTTGTGGGTACAACCTCCAACAAACACTGTGTCTTATGTGTTTTCCAAAGGAGGCAGAACCTGAGAATTGATGTATTTTGCCACAAGCTATTAAAATCTCCATTTCCTTCACTAAAGGTCTCCTCTAAAGTGACAGTTAAAGCCAGCTGTAATAGGGGTCTAGAGAAAAACAAATGCATTGGGTTGTGGTTAAGGAACTGGCTCACTTTGGGGACTGGCAAGTACTAATTTTAGGGCAGGCAAGCAGGGTGGAGTCAAGGGAGAGCGGCTATTCCAGTTTGAGGCTCATGGCTGTCCAGGAGCAGAGTTCTCTTACTTGTGAGAACTCACTTTTCTTTGCCTTTTAGTGACTAGAAGAGGACCGCCAAAATCATGAAGTGCAATTTGCTTGAGTCTACTAATTTAAATATTGACTATATCTAAAAAATATGTTCAAAGGGACATCTAGACTGCTTGACCAAAGACTGGCTACCAAGCCTTGTCAAACTGACTAGTGAGTAGACTCCATGATTTCTTTGTGGAATAGGATACAGTTGAAGTGAAGATATTTTGATGTTTTTGCTTTAGGTTGAAATTGCAAATACTTAACTACTTTTGCTCTAGGAAAAATAAGTTAGCTCAGAATGGCTTAAAACAATGTTTTTGGTCTTGGCTTCAGTCAAGACACTGCCACTACCTGCCTCAGATACTTCATTAGGCAACATGTTTCTTCTTTTAATCAAGCTGTCTTCTTTGGAGCTCCAGGATTGGACAAAGCAGCGAGTGCCGTTGCCCGTAGGGTGTGTTTGAGTAAATGTTACTTAAGAAGACCTGCAGCTTAGCTCAAGCTGTACAACTACACTGAACTTTTCCTCCTGATGATAAGCCATGACTATGTATTTCTCATCTAGCTCTAAAGACGTGGAAATAAGAACACCACTGATCTAATAATATTTTCATAGAGCTCATATTCTAATCAAACTAATCATTTTTAAATTTAAATTAGAAGCAAGCTTGCTTCATATGTCAATCCCCGCTCCCTCTCCTTCTCCCCCCCGCCTCTCCCCAGGTCCCCCAGCCCCTTACCCAATCCCCACTCTGTTCCCCAGGGAGGGTGAGGCCCTCCAAAAGGGATCTCCAGAGTTTGTCATTTCATTCAGTGCAGGGCCTAGACCCTCCCTCAAGAGTCCAGCCTGAGAGAACATCCCTCATTGTGGGATGGGCACCCAAAGTCTATTTAGACTAATCTTAAATGTCGTTTCTCAGTATTTTCCTCTTGGGTATTATAAGAAGCCACAATTTCTCTAAGCCATCCTTGAAGCACATCACATAATCAGATTTACATAGGAATGTATCCAGTGTTAATTCTAAGGGTTAATGTGGGATACTTCCATACTTGTGGGATTAAGTGCAAAACAGAATTACAAATATGAGAGTCCCTATTTCATTTACCTGGTCAAAGCCCATTGAAAGGTGACTATAAGACACAGCATGTTACTTCCATAGCTGGCTTCTGGAAAGGTGTTAAATACATTTGCAGAAGTGTTAGTTACCTTTACTGGAAGCTGCTTTCTTGACTACTATGTTTTTAGGTGAAATGATGATGCACATGGCAACCATTCTGGCTTAATCTGAATTATCAAAACTTGATTTAATAAGACTGGTAGTGAATCAACCAACCTCAGAGGAACTTGTGAGAAGATAATTCCTATGGCTGGCAATAATGTGCTAAAGGAAGGCTTAACGTCAATTTTACCTTAATGCAAACAACTACTCGAACAACATTTGTGAATTCTAAACTCAGCCTCACTCAGGATTTGACGTTTTGTGTATGTGTGCACCTAGAGGCCAAGCTAAGCCTTCCTTAGCTACTCCCCACTTCTGAGACAGGGTCTCTCACTGAACTTGGAGCTCACTGATTGGCTAGACTGAGGACTAGTGAGCTCCAGGTATTCTCTTGTCTCTGTGTCTTTTGGGATTGAAGTCAGGTTCTCAAGTTTGCCTAGCAGGCACTTCACTGTCTGAGTCATCTCCCCAGCCCTTGAAGCTTTGGCTTTAAAAATAATACACTCTTGTCCCTTCCTCTAAAAGCTCAAAAGTCTTTTAGAAATATTTTACAGCTCTGAATGTTTTGCTCACATGCGTGTCTGTGCACCACAGGTGCTCCTGGGGCCTGTGGAGGTCCAAAAGGGCACTGGATCCCCTGGAACTGGAATTATAGACAACTGTGAGCCACTGTGTGAGTGCTGGGAATGGAACCTGGTCCTGTGGAAGAAAAAGTAATCTTGACAGTTGAGTCATAGTTCCAGCCTCTCCCAAAGCTCCAAAGTCTCACATCTCCCGGAACCTGCAGCTTCATTCATAAAACAAATGGCTTTCTGGAGGCTGCAGTTTCGGCTTTAGATTAGCAAATCAAAAAAGACACTCAGTAGTTGTTAGGTGGCCTATGCTCCCCCATCTGTGAGTCAGCTATATGGACCACACAAAATGGACTCCAGGAGCTCTTAAAAAACAAAAGGACGCAGTTGGGAGAGGGTGGGGAATGATTCTGGGAAAAATGAAGGATATATGTGCTCAAATAATTATATATGTATGTAAATTCTCAAAGAATATTGTCTAAAAACAGTAGAAGAAACATGTTACAATAGAGTGTTAACTTTGGGGATTGGGGAGGATCTGTATGATTTAAAGCATTATGTATTTCTATTCATATATTATGGGAAATTCATAAACCTTTTTCCTTACAACAGGTGCCACTGCAGCGTGGGTATCCTGACAAGCAGCAGCCTGCTTCTTGGATGTGAGTTTCTAAAGTACAGACAGTACCACTGCAGTCTCATTATGTGAAGCTGCATTACAGAAGGCACACACACAAAAATGACCTTTGTCTATATTTTATACAAATACAACAGTAGTTTGTGAATACATTTTAAGTACATGATATACATGATAAGCCACTTGATTTTCCAATATCACAGAATAGCAATTTAAAATGCAATAAAAATATACAAAATTCAGTCTGGAATGCAGATTTTTCATTTCTATTTGACTCAAAACTTTACCTTTAGAATATGTTTAGAGTACTAGTCCAAACACTTTTTCATTAGCTAAAAATACAATTTCAGCAGTCAGCTTATGTTCAGGCATGATGCAATCCATTTTCTAATGGATTCCCAGTTTTTGTTAAAATTCAAAGGGCTGTTAGTAACCTACAGCATGTTCTTCACTCCACACCCTGTGTCAAGCCCACTTTCCATTCTGAGTTACAGTCACCTTGTGGACAAAAGCTGGGTTTGTTCTGGTAACATTTGCACATCCAAGATCTCCTTTGCAAGCGCACATGAATACATTGTGGTGGTGTAAAAGTTTGTTAATGACAAATTAAGTCACAGTATAAAAATATATTGTACACCTTTACACCTATGTAGTCCTTTTCCTATGGATAAAAAAATACAACTGAATGAGACAGAAGTTTGTAGCACCATGAAGAGTTGTATCCCAAGTGACAGTAGCAGCATGATCCCATATAATGTTGAAGGAGGGTTTCTGAGAAGATAGACATTCATTCTGGTTCGTCTGTACCACTGAAGCTTATACAAAGAAGTGTCTTACACATCAGCAATATTTCTGTATCATCTGCAGAGCTAGATAACCTATCCAAAGATACTGCCTTCCATTCCCAGGGGCTGCTAACATTGGATAAAGGCATACTGGTGATCTGGGTGCTGTTACTAAGGCTGGTAGAAATATCTTGCATATAATTTCAAAGGAGCACTCTGTAAGTACAATACAACTTAGGCATTTATGTAGACAGACTACAGAATCAAGATATAAGGTGTCATAGACCTGGATGCTGACAGTGTGAGTAAAACAAGACAGATTCACTGAGGGATTCATTAGTCAGAAAAACCAGTCTGCCTTCACTAAGGATGAATATCAACATTGAAAAGATTTCCTCCAATGTCACATGGATCTCAGTAGGCTAGAAGTAACTTGGGTGAACTGGTATCTTTTAACTTACTTATGGACTGGGAAGACAGTGTGCTTTGAGATACGTAAACCTTGTAAAAAATATAAACCATTGTAAAACCATATGAAAAGACACACACTGATTCTGTGCAATTTAGCAAATCGATAAGAAAACACTGTAAAAATGTACCTGTTTAAAATACCATCTACCATTTTTTTGTACACAAAGCATTATATATCAAAGGCCTATATATATCACCTAATGGCACTTGAAACGAATATAATAAGTCTTAAAATAAAAGGCATAACCTATAAGAAAGTTTCTGTAGAAGTTTAGGTTCATTTTGAAAGTGCTATATCTTGTAGTACGTGAAGTATAGAGGTTGAGCAAGCTCTATTTTTTGAATTGGCCTATGTGTGTACTGCTCACTAGATGAAAGATCCTGAAATACGTACTCTATAACATTCATTAATAAAGCAATCAGCTCTGGCTCATGTTTCAGTCAGTATATGGTTTTAAAAAACCGTCACTGTCCAAATTAACACAATATATCACTATATTCCACAAAGGACTAGAAAAATAAAGCACAAGCAACAAATAGGCAAAAACACACAGCTTGAAAGAAACGCCGACAGAAATGAAAAAGGTGGCATACAGAATGGTGCAGGAACCACCAGATCCACCAAGACAACTTAACTTCTAGAAAACTGAACTAGGTGATAAGATTTTAAATGAAAGCTTAACAGTGACCAATAGCTACAAAGGTGGTATTGGTAAATATCAATGGATTATATTGCTTACAGAGCCTCGGTCCTTCCGCTCTCATGCTCCTGCAGCTGCTGACGCAGTCTGCACATACACGTGCAAGTCAAATTGACTGAGGCTCGGCATCTTTCTGAGGTCCAGATTTTACACTACACTATTTTAGTTAATGTTAATCCCTTTTCTTCCAGCCAATCTAAGGCACTAGCAGAAACTCCAAGGATGATGACTCTGACTGCTGGTGAATGAAAACAGCATTGGCAAGAACTACTCCTAATCATCCCTACATCACATAAAAACAAGTGACAGTATTTTCTAGGGGGAAAAAGCCAATTCTGTGTTACATCCTTGTTAAAACATTGTGCAATTAAATTAAAAGCTGCCTGATCATTAATAGAAAATCTATCAAGAAAGGGTTTAGTGACCACTGCAGTCAATTAAAAAAACAAACAAACAAACAAACAAACAAACCCAACCCAACTTGCTGAATTCCCTCTTACTTTGAAGTGTTATTCAAGTCTGTGGGGGCAGCAATAGGCAAAGAGGTGAACATACGAAGAAAATTAAGACTCTATGTTTTAACACTGGTACCCTGGAAGATGTGTATTAGAGTTCTGTGCAGGGCAAGAATTAGGATAAAAATATATTTATATATATACATATATGGCGCCATTCCCATTTCAAAATTCTTTATTTCATATATCCTGGTACTCCCTTTTTTTTCAATTAGCAGTGAAATACAGCCTATGAAGGCCAATGTCTCAGGTCATTTAATGTGACTTCTTAGCAAATTTCAGATAGGATAAACTAGTGCTTTCATATGTGATATTTGTGACCAACCTCTACATAAAAATAGGTTTTCTATTTATTTGTGCTCTGTCACCAAGTTTCTTTTCCTTTCTAAACAGTGATTAAAGCAATATTGAACACTAATCATTCAACTAGAGCTTTAGGTAAGTGATCTGTTTCATAGAAACTAAGGAAGCAGTCTTAAGCAGAGTGAAGAGCCCACTTGGAGAGTGAGTGTGCTCCCAACCACAGCTCAGGAGCAGCTTGAAGAGTTAGACATGTATTCCTTATTAACATATATCATTTTAATGCCTTTGGAACACTTTTTTAATAAAATGTAATTTTTCATAATAAAATTTAAATACATAAGTATAAAAACTATTGCTCCAGGGTTAAAGCCAGGAGCCAGAGCCCTCCAGAGAGTAACTCTGATTCTATGAAGTGCGCTAGACATGTGTGTAACATATAGCAAAGCCCCATTCACATGACATTTTACACTTCTCAATTTATACTACTCCCAGGTATTTTAAATAATGCATAATATTCGGTAATCTATACTCATGTTTAGAATTATTGGTAAACAACAAATCTGCAATGATAGTTGGCCCCAAGAAAGGGAATGAGTTTCCCCATACAGGGCTAATGAGTGCTCAGAAATTCAGAAGTGTTTTCTTCTTCTTTCTTTTTTTTTTTTTTTAAAGAGATACATACTCTTCAGTAAATTTTCCCCTACCCCTGCCCCAGCAGAAGGGGGCCTGAAACAAGTGCTTAACAGATCCATCTTGTAGGATGATGCCACAAGTAATCCTTAGGAAAATTTATACAGAACCTTTGATCAGCGCCCCGGCTGGCGTGAGGAAGCCCATCACTGCCATGTCAGTGAGCACCGCACCCTTGGTGCTTTCACACTCATTTGGTGCTTGCTTTATTTTCCTTTGTTTCCTCTACAAATTCAACTTATTTGTAACATTCCTCCCATTTCCTAAGATGTATAAAGTTTTTTTTTTAACTGTTTGGGGTTGTTTAAAACTTTGTGGAAACTCCTCAAGTAGCCTTTTAATGTGTTTAAGTTCTCCACCCAAACACAGCAGGAAAAGGTGGATGGGCACTGAGAAGGAGAGCACAGGGACAAGACTGCTGTTTTAGACGAGGTGGGACAGGCTTTTAGTTTGCCCCCAGAGGCCAGTTTCAGTTCCGGCAATAGTGGGAACTCTCTAGACAAGTTCTGAGGTTTGGCTGTATGTTTTACATCCATCTTCCTGTTGAGGAGTCTATCACCCTGGCAACTGAGGCAGCCTACTCTGGGTTTCACATATTTACTACTGTCCCAATGGCTCTAAGACTCTGGACTACCTATGGGCCAACATGCAACATAAGAACGCTGGTATGCTGAACCCATCCTGGGTACAAAAGGTGAACGATGTGAAACAGAGCATTTCTATACCGATCCTGAAGGCTGATATCACACACTGTTAACCATAAAGTATACATGGTTGTAATGTGGCAAAACAGCCTAAGGGCCAGTGCTAACACAGAACACCCTGTGACCTCTCTAGGTTTCTTTTAGAAACTGAAACTCTCTCTCTCTCTCTTTTTGCCATATGCTCATAATATTTTAGCCAGACAATAGCAGTCTTCAAAATATATTGATCTGAAATGATGGTATATTTAAGAAACCACTATAATCTCCCCAAACTGGATTCTTAATTCATTTAAAACACTTGATCATGAATCCATTTAGTGGCTAGTAAAAAATGTAAAACACTTCAGTTATTCACACACATTTCATAAGATTTCCATTGTACTGCATATTTGAAAAAAAATGAGCCAAATATCCAATGCCCATTGCTATTAGACACAAATGAAAATTTTAAGGTCTAATAGCAATTTGAACACAGGACTTTTAGAATTTAGAGATAATAATGGCGCTTCTATATGAAATAAAATTCTGAGACTATTACAACTGGCAGTAAATCAGAGAAACAGCAAATGTAAATAAAAATGAATGGTTTCAAAGCTTATTGAAGAGGCTAATTCCTATTATTTACTGGCTTCATGAAACCTGGTATTATACAAAAGCAGAAGTTTTTGTATTGTCTTAAAGTAGGCACTAAAATACAAATGGTCATTGAAGGTGGGGCTACACACGCACCTCCCTATCAGACCCGTGGCCCAGACCCTACTGAAATGCCTGGTGGAAACGGGGCAGGGTGGTGCTTGTGCTTAGGCTACTGGTGAAAGCTGCTGAGAGTGAATGCAGAGAACTGAGGCCCACAGTATTCGCAGGATCCTGGAGATCCTGTGTTTGTGTGGGCAGCTGGGAAACAGAAGAATGTGCTTCATCTTGGGAGTAGCTCATCCCAAGGCTCCCCACTGAAAGGGGATTATAAGGAGGACCATTTAATGGTATGAAATTGAACAACTGAGAAAAATCCAATGCTGGTGTGTTGAGGGGGTCATTGATAGAAATAGAGCTCTTTGACAGGGAGAGGTCACCCACACCATCATCTAGGGACCCACTTTGAGGATCTAACCCTAACTTAGATGATGATGCTTGAGAATCCTGGGATGAAGAGGGTGCACCACCTTGTAATTCCATCAGATAACTCTCAATTTCCCCCTTTAATGGCTGTTCTTTTTCAGGAATAGAGATTGCATATGAGGTAGAACTGAATGGGCATTTGAAAGCAAGATGGTGAGAGGGGTGGACAGCATCCATATCTATGGGGCATGTCACGCCCAAAGGTAAAGTTGTGATCATTTGGTGAGCAGACCCAGAGCTCGGCATGGACTGAAATGGAGTGTTGTAGAGGTTTAACTGCAACGTGTTTGTGAATGGCTTTGACAAGAGTTCACTGGAAGGTAAGGACATCACCGGCAGGAGCTCATCCTTTATAGGCACAGACATGTTACAGGTAAATGGGTCCAGAAAATCTACTGGTTCAGTTTTGACCTTCAGAAGCTCTTGATTGTGACTCTTCTTCATATGTCGAGTGAGGTGATCCTTTCGTCCAAATCTCTGTGCACAGTACTGACAGAGGAAGTCCTTTCTTCCTGTGTGCACCACCATGTGTCTCCGGACATCCTTCCGGGTGTAGAACCTGCGCTCGCAGTGCTCACACTGGTGCTTTTTCTCCTTCACGCCCCCAGATGACTTGCCTGCATGAGATTTCAGATGCTCCAAGAGCACACCTGTGCTTTCAAAAGTCTGCAAACACACCTTGCAGGTGAGATCACCACTGGTTGCAGCATGCAAGGCCAAATGTCGCTTAAAGCCAAGCTTGGTGTTGTAGCTCTTGCCACACTCTTCGCATTTAAAGGTCTCTTTGTTAGGGTCGTGTGTATGCAGGTGATTCTTCAAATGGTCTTTCCGGTGAAACATTTTCTCACAATAATTACACTTGTGGGTTTTCTCAGGAGAGTGAGTAGCCATGTGCCTTTAAACATAGACATATTCTGTGAGTGATCATCTTAGCAGAAAGGTACATATTCACTTTTCAAATGGGAAGCTAAACTACTAGTGCTAACACACAGCTCTCTTAATAAAGGGTCTACCTAACTAGCACACACCACAGCATAGTTAACACACTGCAAAACTTGAGCCATCTAAGTTGCCACTTCAGTGTTGACTGGTTTTTAGCTCTCACTACAAAAGTAAACAAGCAAGACTGAACACATTCATGTAATGTCCACACCCTTTTCATGTAGAAATTTCTCTTTACAAATGGAAATTCTACTCTCATTAAGCATTTTACTTAAAAAAATCCAGACAGTTACACAGACGTATGTGATTTAGAGTACTTCAAGCTAGTCAATGCCTAATCTACTTAACATTTCCTGTCTGCAAATCAGCCGAGCAATGTGTATACAGATACACACACTTACAATGGCTTCAGATGACCAACACAAGAGAAAGTATAATCTGAAAGACAAATAGAGTGTAGTACCTTTGTAATTTGTACTTAGAAACAAAGGCCTTGGTGCAGTCTTGTTGTGTGCACTTGTAGGGCCTCTCTCCTGTGTGAGAGTAGGAGTGAACCTTTAATTTCTCAACACTGTTAAAGGCCTTGTCACACAGTTGGCAAGGGAAGTTTTTTCTTGGTTTGGTTTCACCACGCTTACGTTTCCCTGAAGGGGCTTTCTGGGTATCTCTTACTTCTGACAAATCACCAGGAATGACAGTGGCCATCGCAGCCTAAACCAGGCCTTCTTGTTGGACACCTGGGAACTGCCCAACTCCACTAAGTGATATAGCTTTAGGTGGCTTCTCAAGTTTCATGTGGTCGTAAAAGAAAGCAAAAAGGGACTGGAAAAAAAAATAAGAAACAACTAGTTTGTAACTAAACTCAATTAAAAAATTATTTGCTTTGTGATGCTTTTGAATTAAAAAAGAAACCATAAAATGGATTCAGCTGGTCCAATGTAATATCTGTAGGTTTCTTTGTATTTTCCAAAACAGATAGATATAAATGCATTGCTCAGAATGAACAGTTCATACATACCCTGAAATTGCACCTGACAAATGCTGGACTTAGGCAGAACAGTAGTGAACTCAGGAACTCTCAGAGCATGATGCTAAAGGTGGCACCAGAAACTTCAGTTTTCAGAAGGATTAGAAAACACATACATCTACAGCTCAACGACCACTGCACTCTGTGCACATGGGCACACGAACACATGAGCACTTGGCACTTTGCAAACCCAAGTTCATGGATGAAGCACATGAAACCCAAATACTATAGGGAAGAGTTGAAAGCACCACCCGGAGTGAAAATTCACCCTTTAAACCAGTGTTAGAATACTCTAGGGAGTGTCTGAGTCAAAGGTAGAAATGATTTCTCTTCAAAACAAACAGCCTTGAAATACTAAAGCCTTTTGATACAACCTCGGGTGAAAACTGCAGATCTTGGTCTTTTGAGGAAGTATGGTTAGTTTCCCTCAACTGTCTCTACATCACAGAGAAGATTAGACTTACTGGGTGTACTAATATTAATAAGCCAGAGCCATTAGGTCTCCCAAGAGCTAAAGGCATCAGCCTTTGATACAACTGAACCCGAGTGTGGTACACCTGTTAAGAGTTCTCACAGTGTACAAGAATGCATCATCACAGAGGTGTTTCGCCCTGAGTTTCAACTCATGATCAGTAGTGAGAAAGAATGAAATATATGTGTGCAGCAAAGAGTATGTCGTCAAGTTTAAACGAAGTAATTAAAACTAAATAGAAACCTCCACAGATAAGAAATAGTTCATGTAGTTAACTCTATTTCTCAGAGTAGGAAAAGCAACCCCTCAAAGACTTTATTGCCGTGTAAGTTAAATCAGTGGTTCTCACCTTCCTAACACTGCATGCAGCCCTTTAATATGGTTCTTCATGTTGTGGTGACTCCAACCATAAAATCATTTTGTTGCTACTTTATAATTTTGCTACTGCAGTGAATCATAATGTAAACATCTGATATGGGACACCTGTGGCATCATGACCCACAGGTTAAGAATCAATGAGTTAAATGTTTCTTAAGGTAATTAGAGGGATTCTTCCAAGAGACCACAAAAATGGTAGTACCTGTAATGTCTTTTAAAAGAATCTGATTATTAACTATGGTTATATGAATTTGCCATCCTCTTGTATATTTTAAAGAAAGGAAACAACTTCCTTATCTCATCTGTGTTTTAGTAGTAGAGTGATACATGCCTCTTTACAAAATTTGGTGTGGTATATTCACTTTCACAGATTCCTGTTAGATTTTTGTTTTTAGGAACTCTAAACACCTACGTTTTGGTAACACTTAAGTGTATATCACATCTTTTTGTACATCAGCACAGAGGCCGTCCCTGTGCTAAACAGCAGTGAGCCACTATTTTGATTAAAGCAACATAGCATTCAGGTAAGCTGAGCACATACAGTTTCTTCTTTGTAAGACAGATACAGGCTTTTGCATTGCTCTAAGTATCAGGAAGTTCCTCTTGCAGTTTACAAATGATATTAATATGATACAACCTGTATCACAGTGCTGATGCAGTTGTTAGCTCTGATATCATGACACTAATGCAGCTGTTAGCTCTGATAGCACTGATGCAGCTGTTAGCTCTGACATCACAGCAATGATGCAGCTGTTAGCTTTGACATCATAGCACTGATGCAGCTGTTAGCTCTGTTATCACAGCACTAATGCAGCTGTTAGCTCTGTATCACAGCTGGTTGCAGCTATTAGCTCTGATATCACAGCACGGATGCGGCTGTTAGCTCTGACATCACAGCACTGATGTGGCTGTTAGCTCTGACATAGCACTAATGCAGTTGTTAGCGCTGACATCATAGCACTGATGCAGCAGTTAGCTCTGATAGCATGGCATGGTTGCAGCTGTTAGCTCTGACATCACAGCACTGATGCAGCTGTTAGCTATGGCAGTGGATTTTCTGAAGCTCAAAGACTTGTTCCTTTCCTGTTATGAGCTCATTCAATGGATAGATGATTTGCCTCCCTCCATGTTAGAGGTAAATAGCTACTCTGCAGACAAGTAATGACAGTAAATTAGAATAAAGCTTTAATTTTCATAGTGATTTCCTCACTTGATGCTTTCATAGATCCATTCAGACTATGAACAAGTCAATCGTTTTTCCAACTGCAGAATCTAAAAGAATGCAAGGTGTCTACATAACTAGGTCTGAAAAACTGACCATAATCACCACTATAACAGCACTGCTGTGATGCTGAGAATTCCAGAAGAGAAGAGCAACTTTAATGTAACACTCCCTGCAAAAACCTTAAGGGCACCACGAAGCAACACACAAGTATTTGAACAGATTACACTGGTGATACTCAATATGAAGTAACAAATGGATGTTTCTGCATGTACATACTGAGCAATGAGGAATTGCACTGATGCCAAATATTACACTTTACTAAGACCAGCTGAAATTTTTCATGGCTGATAATGCTATTATATTATATTACATATAATCCATTATAAAATTCAAATTACTTATCATTGGTACATTAAAAATTTTAGGACAAATATAAAGTTGTAAACTTGTTATCAAATAAAGATTATATTCATAATATGTTTATCAACCAAATACTTTAAAGGCACATGCACAGAACTAGTGATTTTTGTTTAATGCATACCTGATTAAAGATGGAAAAAGTCTCAGACTTTGATCTTAACCAGTTCCATTAACTCTTCGTGGAAGAGAGCAGAATCCAGCCCTTCCCATTTTGGCCAATCTATGAAGAAGTAAAAAACAGAATGGATTATAGTATAAGTGAAACTAGAGCGTAAATGACAGAAAATAAAGCATAAACGAGCGGCAATCTCATAGCGCATGCTGTTGATGAGTCGTGCATTAATTCCCACCAACTGCTTTTTTTGATTAGTTGTAAGCACACTTTACATGACCAAATAGATGCACAAATAAAAAGAAAAATAGTATTACCTAGAAATAGTGCCAATTTCTGATGCTGAATGATTCCCCACTTGTTAATAAAAAAGAAAACTAACCAAGAGAAATGGCTATTAGAGTTACTGACTAAATGAAATTGGTGATGATTCATTAACCTTAATATAATGGAAGACACAAACTCGCTTTTCTGCAGGAGAGAGCCTCTGGAAACCTGATCTTAGCACTGCCACCCACACTGCCCATGCTTGTGACTGCGCTACTTGCAGAAGTGCCAATTTAAACTAAAGAATGGTGTAAGGATGACTGGAATGTAGAAACCACTCTGCTGTTCAGATTCCAGGTAGACAGGAGGGAAGTTAAATATAGGTTTGCTACAGGAGGCAGGTATTGGGGGAAAAGGTGTATTTGTTGCATGAGACCATTGTTGAAAAACCTTAGGATAACTTAAAGATGTCTATTAGTAGCAAGGTCTTTAGCAGACTGACAACATAAATACAAACTGTGTTAATATTTATGAATGAAAGAAAAGGCAAGAATAACAGTAGTATAAAGTAAAAAGGACCTATAATTATTACAAAGAATATAAGGCAAACAGTGATTAGTAAGCTGTGATTATTTTTAATTAAGTACTCAGAAGTATTAATTAGAAGAACTTGAGAGATATAATAAAAATCAGTAACAAAAGGATATGTCAATGGCAGGTTAGGATAAAAAACTTTTAATGTTGTATAACAATCTACTGATATTTCTTAAAATAAAATTCTCGCACACTTTCAGAATTTGATGATATGCAAAGATGATATACAAAGAAATTATTTAATGGAGGACATTCAAGCATCATTACAAAATTACTAAGGGTATAAGAAACCAGTATTATTGTAGATAAATAAATGTATCTTTAAACGTTCAAGCAAAAGCCCCACTGTCATAAAGCACAGGACATGCACAACCGGAAGAACGTCAACATTGCAAACTTAGTTTTGTCAATACTTACTTGCCCAGGACACACATTGAATATGTGGTGAATAATTATGCAAATAAAAGATCATTTTACATACTATATCTGAACAATATACTTTATAAATAGAGTATTCTGATCTTTATCCTGTCCCTGCAGTCAATGACCCGAAATGGTTGCATGTATCACCACTGCTCCTGAGCTATGTGAAGGTGTCTGTGTGGACAAGACAGGATTTATGTCCCCAAACTGCTATTTCATTCATATTCTACTGTGATCTATGATAGGGCAGGTTAGCAAGGCAACTTGCATGTGGATAAATCCTGTCAGTACCCTTCAGAGTTCAGAAGAAGGGTCAGTGCTATCTTTTTTTCTATGAGAACTGCTAAAGAAAATCTCCAAAAGGAAGCAAGAATTAAGAAAAAAGTTACAAGGTAATTTTAAAAATAATTCATTAATCATTAAAATAATTAGCAATTCTGAGTGCATAATTTGACTAGAATTGAATCTAAAACCAAAGTTATACTAGCGAATAATAAATTTGTGCATTTTTTGTTATAAATTTTACTGCCTTCTAAACATGCTCATAAAGTTCTAGCTATGGTTAATCAGAGTAGCATTTTATAACAGAAATGCTATAGTAGTTAAGTATCTCAAACAGTCTCCAAATTATCCCACTGTACATCTTACATGCAGAAATAAAACTATAAATAAAGCCACCATGTTAATTTAGCTTATCTTAAAATTAATTTCTAAATTGTGGTTAATATCTCTAAATTCTACCCTACTTTGAATTTTTATTAGTTGCCAAATAATTTCAAAGAACTGTTCACTATTTCCCCAAACAGAAGGAAATCAGGAGTTGATTATACTTGGACTGACAGAATAAACATAAAAAAATAAATACAGCTTATATTTATGTATCCCTAACTAAAATGTTAACTAAACTTATCTGTTCTCTTTTACAGGCCCGGGTAGGGGGGGGGTAAAAGCAGTATTATTACTGCTTTAAAAGTCTGTAACCAGAAAACTTACATTCATGGTTTTCTTTTTTTCTAGTTAAAAAATTTATCAAAGACTGGTTACATTATTTGAAGTGATGGGTTCCGTTTTGCCTTTGTCTGAGGAATTGCAAAAGGAGGTGGAGAATACATGCTATTCTGCTGCACTGCCCTACAGTGAACCATTTCAGAACACAATCCCGCTTTGGATGATACCCAAGCAGACACACCTCCTCTACCCCCTCCTCCAAAGGCAATTCTGCATTCAACAGTAGTAGTTAGGGGAAAGATACATGCTTGAGCACAAAGGTTCATCTTCTTATGTTTTATTTTATTCTTAGGAAATAGTGACTCATGAAGAAATAATGGGCAAACAAATTGCACATCAGAGGGTTTACTGAAATTGATTTCTATTAGGTGTTGAACCCTGAGAGTTGCTGTTAACAGTTACGAAGCTTGAGCGACACTTACCTGCAGTAACAGTTTTTCATTTTAAAGTTAAACAGATTTTGCTAAGAGCGGATGCTATTAGTCACCAAAGCTGTGCTCTCACTTACACTAATCATAACAAACCATTAGTTCACAATGCAGAAAGATGTCAACATGTGCTTAACACATTTTCCATAGAGAACGAATAGGGTAGATCACAGAAGGAAACTCAGCAGTGATAATACTTCATATGTATGCAACACTAATAAAACCTTGAATAAGAAGGAGATGAACTAGCCTACATAACTGAATACAAATTTGAAGGAGGTATACCACTGTATTTGGAGCATTGCTTTAAAACGTCATTAATCCTTTATAGCTTGGAAATTCTTATCAGTCAACTCTCAGTCTATAGAGTCCCTTGTAGTGAAGGATAAAAACTATCTTGCAATTACAAAAACTTAAGAAAGGGTAACTGAGTGAGTATGATCAAAATGCATTCTATACATACATTATAAACTGTCAAAAAATTTAAAATTATAAAGAGAAAACAAATGCAAAAACCAATCAAACAAACAAAAAAGACCTTCAGAGAATGAACAATCAACTGTAGGCAGCTCAGGGCAGGGTCAGGCCAGTTTTACTCACTGCTGTTCCCATAAATGACAGTAAAGTAACTGTTGAATGAACAAGAAAGATTAAAACACGGTAAGTGCTTGTCACTAACATAATGACCCACAGGCTTGCTCATCATCATAGCAGACAGAAGACAGTAAATACATAGTCCAGTCCAAGATAGACACTAGCACTTATAATAATTGAAAACCTGTTCAAAACATTCATTTGCCAGCATGCTCTGACTGATGATATTCTTACAGAATTACTGGCATGAGTAGACAGCATTAATCCAGCCTCAGACTTAATAAAAATTGCTAGAGTGAAAACATGCCTGGTACCTGTGCTACCTGGCCTGAAGCAGGAAAGAGGGTCAGACACTTGGGTGGAGTTAATTATATCTACAGGGAACAGAGGAACAGAACACCCACTGCAAAGCAGAAAGCATAGCCAAGATATGTACTTAACTCACCTGAATTTTAGGTTCTCAAGAACTCAGTACTGAAACTTAGGCAAAATCATAGTATTTAATTAAGGATCCCTTGTGAAAATTTTCTACATTTGACTTTTTCTACTTGTTTTGAGTAATTTGTTAAAATTATGTAGTTCTATCATAATCATTTTCAACTTTATCGCAAAATCAGCCCTAATTATATCTATCTAGAAGTATCTTGTATTTAATATAGAGCAAAAACTTAGAAGTGAAGGAAATGGTTTATCTTTTTGTTTTTTAAGGACAAGTAGGGAAATGTCCACAGATTTCAAACTTGGTACCTCGCAAAGTTCCCAGAGACTCTACCACTAGTCTTAAAAGCTTGTTTCCAGCTCACACATGCTCCAGAGGGCCCACACAGAACACCAGCCGCCCAGGAACAAGTCAAACAAATGTGATTTTCAATGCACAAATACTTGTTTTGGTTATTTATATTATAGAGCAAAAAAGATCAGTGAGTTAAAGAGGATTAATGGGCTATAACTTAGGTGTCAGCAACGTGTGTCTTACGTGTATGGGAGATCCTCTTTATGAAAATGAAAACCAAGACACACAGAGCATACTAGGCATCTCTCTTTGTGTAGGAAAACTAGGACTTGCAAACAGGAAACAAAAGAGGAACTGTGAAAGAGGAAGTGACAATGACGAGCAGGAGGCGCATATATAACTGCGATTGTAACAATGCAAAGTTAAGTGTTCAATCAATACTAGTAACTATTTTTAGAGGATGTTCCGGGCTTCTAAAAATGCACAAAACATTTCCATAATTGTCATGCAGCTACACTAGAAAGGTGGCCCACAGCCACTTTTCTGATGTGATGAATTCATTCTAACTACTAACTGCATGAGTTGCTGGGGTGGGTACTGATCAAATACCGTAACACAATTACATCCTTAAACACTCAGAGTATGCCTCTAGAGTGAGTAGTTGCCTAATGAAATTCAAATTTCAGAAACAGAGTCCAGGTTTCATATCTGAACTCTCAGACTCTCACACCAAATCTGTAGGGAAGCTCAGGAAAAGGTGGTAATCAGATGGAACGGAAGAAAAGTGCTAAGTAAAATCTTAGTTACAAAAGTTCATGAGGAAAATCAGTTTTAAGCTATGTCAAAGTAGCATACATTCAAAGTGTAGGCCAGTGCAGTATGAGGAGGTACAGCTACTGCCCAAGCTGCATGCTGATACAGGAAACATGCATAGACACGGAACCCAGTCCTCAGGGAAGGCTCTGCATCTGTTCACCCTGTGCCACACTGTGCTAACTGTCAGGGTTAAAATCACATCTAGAAACAAGAATTCTCTTTACTCCCACATCTCTGAGGTGAACAGGGTTAGTTTTAGGCAACACTGTCAAGAGATCTGATAGTTGTATTCCTTGACTAATCACAACATGGATGAGCTTGAAAACCATCTCTATGACTGAATTCTTTTTTTTTTTTTTTTTTTTTTTTTGGTTTTATGAGACAGGGTTTCTCTGTATTGTTTTGGAGGCTGTCAGTCCAGCCCGGACTCCAACTCACAGAGATCCACCTGCCTCTGCCTCCCAAGTGCTGGGATTAAAGGCGTGTGCCACCACCGCCTGGCATATGACTGAATTCTTTACCACAGGGGCTCACGGTTATTTCTGTACTCCCAGCATCTAGCCAGTGTCCTGCTTTGGAGTAGCAACCTGCTAAACTCTGTCTGTCTGTCTGTCTGTCTGTCTGTCTGTCTGTCTGTCTGTCTGTCTGCGTGACAGGGTTTCTCTGTGTAACAGCCCTGACTGTCCTGGAACTCAATTCGTAGACCAGGCTGGCTTCCAACTTACAGAGATCCGAGTGCTGGGAGGCATGTGCCACTACCGCCTGGCTCTATCTGGTAAATATTTGTTGAGAACTGTAGTCCCTGATAATGGGATTTCAAGAATCAGAGCCATCTGCGAAATATGTTGTGAACTCTGGAAACCTCAACCAGCTGTAAAGCACGACCAGAGAAAACCCAACATGGTTAAATGGTTAATGTGGTCTGGTGGAAGGCTGAGCTTGACATGCCCAGGATGGCCAATCCCAGGATGGCCACTGGCCATCAGGGAGCCATGCTGCTTCTGCATTTCAGCAGGTGGCCCTGCCGAGACAGTGTGAAAGCAGGGGACTCAGGCACATGCTATTCAGACCAGACAGACTTGAGACTAAACGGTGGGCATTCCAGACACCATCTTCATATGTTCTGTCTGAGTAACCCTGTAAGTACATGCGCCCTGTACTGATCACAATGCATTGTTTGGAAATAAACGTATGGGAGGAAAATCATATATGCAAAATTCCAAATGCTTTAAAGAGAATATTCTTCATGTAAGGTTAAGATATGAGGATGACGCTGAAAATATCAGAGAAAAAGATTAACTGATTACAGTATGGGAAAGTCAAAAAATGTAAAATTTGTGTAAATAGAGTGTGATTCAGAAAAAGAAGTATTTTTCCTTTCTCTAGCTACTACAAATAGCACCACACTAATTGGACTCAATGGGTCCAATAACAAATAATTCTAGCCGGGCAGTGGGGGCCGCACGCCTTTGATCCCAGCACTTGGGAAACAGAGGCAGGCAGATCTCTGTGAGTTCGAGGCCAGCCTGGTCTACAAGAGCTAGTTCCAGGACAGGCTTCAAAACAAGACAGAGAAATCCTGTCTCGAAAAACCAAAAATAAATAAATAAATAAATAAATAAATAAATAAACAACAAATAATTCTAAAATGAGGACATGAGGTAGGGAAGCAGATGTAATTCAAAGTCCTAAGGGGAACTGGAATTGGGGGTGATAGATGGATATGATACATCGTGTACACATATGAAATTTTCAAAAAATAAATAAAAATTAAAAACCCTATCATTATCAATAAAAACACATTCATTAATAACAGCTTAAAAGATAAGCTCACAAAACTAAAACAATTATTAAGAATTTTATTAAGAATATCTGCAGCATAGAGTTGGCTAAATTTTTATGCTAATTCAATTTTAAGTGTTTATTCTCCAAAGAATGTTGTACTTACTAAGATTAGTTTATGGTTCTTCAATTTGATTATTAAGTGTTTTCATGTTTCTGAGAGGCTCTGTTTAGTTCTCAGCCTAAAACCTCGTTCCCCCAGGGGGTGCATTGGCCATAGATAACCAGCTTAGGCCTTTGAGCCCGCTGAGTAACCACTTTTCTAGGCTCCTTATTCTGGAGCTCTGGGGTCCCAGCCTCTAAACTCCAGCCTTGTGCTTAAGGTCCCGCTGACAGACTTACCTGGCTTAAATCCACTTGTGCTTGGGTTATACTATAGTTGGGAAATGTAGATGCTTTTATGTGTTCTCTTCCCAACAATGGTAGGAAGCTGCTCTGGTCACACTGGTCCTGTACGCTAGCATCTGCTGCATTCCAGGGGCAGACCTATCTGCTTCTCCACCTGACCCATCTGATGGAACACACAGGGGTTCTGTGGGATAGTTTACCCATCTGTGGGCTCTCTGAGAGGAGAAACAAACACACCGCACAGAGGCTTTGCATTCTGAAGCAAGAAAGCTGTTCTTTGCCTGGTACTGAACACAGGTTTACTGAAGTCAAGCAGATCACAGTGTATACACTGAGCCCTAAGATCCTAAGTGGCATGCTTATTATGTGGCATGCTTTTCAAAGCTTTTCTATTATAGCTTACATAATTAAGGATCGAGAAAAACTGCTCACTTTGAAAATCATGCCATATAATGATAAAAGCCACCTACCTGAGGCCCTGTTCCAAACTCTAGCAAGGTCACCTTATTAATAGACCATCACAGAATGAAGCATTCTGGGTGCCCAATCCCACCAAGGCAGCATGAGAGGCAACCTAGGAAGAAAAGAAGAATTAGTTTGAAATTCCAAAAGTCAGGCTCAATCTGCTTAACGGCACATGAACCAGATTATTTTTCACTCACTATCACTTATTCTTTGTATTTGACTGTGGGGGAGGACCAGTCTTAAATCCTGCTGGAAGCTGTGAGAAACAAAATATAGTATATTGGAAAGTGAAAAGTAAATAAATGAGTATCTACAACTTATATTTCCCTGTGAACCACAGTTATCCAGATTATTTATATTTCATTCAGTTATAAGTTTGATGGTATTTTTCAAACTGATCATTTATTGTTTTATATTCTAAACACATCACTCTTCCCCATAACATGGTCAAAACGATCTTTTGTCATGCTTTTCTTGTTCTGAGCAGAGACTAGGAAGAGCTGTGTCCTGTGAGTGATCTCACAATGGGTGCGAACTGCACAGCGCAGGGTGGAGGCAGAACAGAAACGCATGCTCCTTCCTCAACACAGCCACAGACTGGTATGTGCTTTAAGAGAGTTGCTTGGGCCAGACCCACCTTCAACAATATAGGAAGAAAAACCAAAATGTGTTCTCAAGTGCACCACATGTACAGTCAGCCTTGATATCCCACAGTTGCAAATCATGAAGACAGACAGACTTCCAGGAGCATATTCAAGACACTTGGGAGGCAGAGGCAGACAGGTCTCTGGGAGTTTGAGGCCAGTCTGGTCTACAGAATGAATTTCAGGACAGCTAGGACTGTTACACAGAGAAATCCTGTCTCAAAACACACACACACACACACACACACACACACACACACACACACACACACCCAAACCAACAAACAACACCAGAAAAGAAAAAAGAAAGACATTAGGTGTTTTCTAATGAAAATATATAAACTGGGGCTGGAGAGATTAATCAACCATGAAGAGTACTTGTTGCTCTTGCAAAGAATGTAAGCCTGGTTCCCAGCACCCATACAACTGCCTGTAACTTCAACTCTAGGGGATCTTGTGCCTCTTCTGACCCCTGTGGGCACCTGCACTCACATGCACATAGTTATCCATAGATAAACACACATACAGACAATTGAAAATAAAATTATTTTTTAAAAAGGAAAAATATACAGATGGCAAAAACTAACCCTACATGAATAGCTCTTTGGCACCACTGGCTATTAGGGAAATGCAAATTAACAGCAGTGAGATCATTCCATGGGTCATAAGTGGCTGACTGGGTTTGGCAGCTATTGTGCAGCAGGCCTCTATGAAATTGTATCACACAGTGGGCACACCCATAATGAAAAGAAGGTAACAATGATGCAATTCACTTTGAGAACAGTTGTGGTTTCTTAAAAAGTCAAACATGCGTCTGCCATGTGACAGCCATTTTATTTATCTACTTATGCAAGAGATAAAAGCATTCCCCCCCCTGCCATTCCCCCCATCCTCCTACCCTATTGCCAATTCCTTCCCCATAGGGGATATCTAGAGTCTATCATTTCATTCAGGGTAGGGTACAGGCACTTCCCTAAGAGTCCAGGCAGAGAAAGCAACCCTCTTTGTGTTATGGACACACGATGTCTGTTAGTAGAATGGGGGGGATGCGGGAGGAGGGGAGGGAGAGGGAACTGGGATTGACATGTAAAACAAGCTATTTTAAAAATTTAAAAACATGTTAAAAAATAAAAAAATAAAAAATAAAAAAAGAGATAAAAGCATACATCTTTACAAAGACATGTGCATGGATATCCAAAGAAACTTTGTTTTCATAGTCAAAGTTATATACAAACCACGTGCCTACTAATGTAGGCACAATTCACTAGTTAGCAGCAATAAGGAAAGAACAACAGATATTTGCAGAAATATGAATAAATCTCAAATAGTTAATTGTACTTGTTGAAACAAGCCAGGCCAGAAAAGGCACATATTGTGTGGCTCAATTCATATTAACAGATGTCTAGAAAATGTGAAATACACTACATGACCAGGTAAGAGGTAGACAGGGAAGGATCAATCACAAAGACTGTAAATAAGCCAGTAGGAATGGTAGATACGTTAAGTATGAGCTGTAGTGATGGCGTCGCAGTGGTCCAAATGGTATACTGTTGTATGTTTCATATCTGTCTACTTCATAGACACCAACTACACTGCGATAAAGCCACGAGAACAGGATGGCAGTTTTTGTACTGAAAATATCGGTGAAGGGGAAAAACAAGTCTTTCAATGAATTCCCTGAAATTTCAAGAGAAAACACTCTAAGGATGGACAATCTGGAGTCTTTACAAGGAGAATGGCTCAAAATGACTAACATCTCTCCTTCCCATTCGGAGGGGGAGACAGTATGAAGAAATTCAGTGTAGCAGTGAGAAGCCTTCGGTCCTGAGTAGGAAGGACACATCTAAGTGGTTTTAGAGCCACATTCTCAGCTGTTCTACTTGGAGGAGCCAGGGTGGCTCACCTGTTGCTTACGAATCGTCATATCACACCACATGATTTAAAGGCTCCAGGAATACACTCGAACTGGAACTGAGACTAGTGGATAATAAATAGTTCCAGGGTCTGTTGCACTTACTAAATACCAAGGAAGTATCTGCTGCAGAGTCTGGGTTCAGCTTCTACACTGCTGTTTTCATTACTAATTGTCTTGGATGTCCGATGAGTATTTGATTTTTTAAAACTTCATACTTGTACAAAAGTGCACCCATACAACCCTTCTGACTTTACTTTCAGTATTTGATCAATGACATGAGATGTTCAATACATTATTATAAAACTGGCTTTGCAAAACAAACAAACAAACCTGGTTTTGTGTTTGGTAATCCTGCTCAGCTAATGTGATGCTTGGTAGACAAGGCATAATAAACACATTTTTCTGCCACAGTGAAACACATTACTTTGTATGCTAATGTAAAAAATAAATTTGAAAAACAAATTTTAATGTGTATGACTAAAAAACATTAATCTTAATCTTACAACAGGCTTTCGACTGTGGCCCATTCACTAAAGCATGTGTATGCTCATTAGCAACAGCTTTCCAAGGAAAGACATCCATGCCTACTGGTTGACATGTTCCACAATATGTGATGTTTAATGTTCCTAAATTACACTTTTATCATTTTTATTTTGATTAGCACTAGAGCTTGGACGAGTATGACCCAAAGAACAAGTGTGAGCCATATCTGGCAGGTATTCCAGGTAGGAGGAATTAGAAGCAGGGATAGGTTACCGCAGGAGGTATGCTATATTTTAAGCAAAGTGTAAGAGTTGGAGCCTGGAGCTATGTGATTAGATGGCTAAAGGGTCATGTCACCAGACATTGAACATTTGAAAATTATCCAGATCAATTATAAACTACTCCAAATGAAGGTGCCTGTCCAGCTTCCTCTTGACACTTGTATACTGTCCCCATGCTCAGATCGTTGAGAAGGGCCCATCTTTACGTGCCTCTGTTGTTTTCTGAAACAGAACTGACTGGTCATTACCTTCTGCATTCTAACTTAGCTTTTTTTTTTTTTAAAGAAACAACCTTCTTAAGTTATAAAACTATAAACTCACTTTGTTGTGTTTGCTGACAGATGATAATCAAAGGGATCAAACCCACCAACCTAAAGCTTAGGGCTGCAGCAGCTAAGGCAGCCCCTTTTCCACCACCCTAAAACTCTTCAGCTTGCTCCATACCTCTGGGCCCTTTTTCTACTGTAACATGGGGGCATGTGATGGAGAGTCATTTCATAATCTTAGATGGCAAACAGCTGGCACTCACCTTTGCACACTGCTCCTTTAGAGGCTTACATGGAGAAGAGCCCAACAAAACTTCCTACAGGATCAGTGTAACTTTGGACAGTTTATTCTCTCTTAAAAATTGTGTGTGTGTGTATGTGGTACTTGTGGAGGTCAGAGGTCAGCTTGTGGGGATTGGTTTCCTCCTTTCACCATGTGTGTCTCGGGAGGGCACTGAACTTAGATCATCAGGATTGGTGGCAGCCATGGAAAGCTTAATGTAGTCTTTGGCATTTTCCTGAGGGCTTAATATACAGAGCTATTGCATTTAGTGCGCTACTCAGGAAACAGTGCTGTCCCACAATACCCTGTTACGTATATGTCGAGGTGGCTCAGTGAGTAATGGTGTTTGCTGAGCTCAGTCCCTAGACACTATGTAAAAGGTAGGCGCAGAGGACCAACTCCACAAAGTTGTCCTCTGACTTCCACATGTGTCATGATACATGTATGTCTCCTCTTCCAAATCATACACACAATAAAGCAAAATTATAAACATAGGAATGACCCCCACCCCCAGTATAGGCTCTTATACAGATCACAGTCAAGACAAAAAGAACATATCATATAAAAGATATAAAAGGCTTACACCCTCAAAGGGTAGAGTGGTATCTGGTGAAGCAGCATGCTTATGATCACATCTGTAGACAGGAAGGGTACATCTTGTTTTATTTTTAATGGTAATTGCCATCACAGACAGATAAACCCAAATCACAGCTAAAGAAACGCTAGGACCCTTTAATACAGCACCACATGTTGTGGTGGCCCCAACCATAAAATTGTTTTCATTGCTACTTCATAACTGTAATTTTGTTAGCTATGAATTGCAATGTAAAAATATGAAATACAGGCTAGTCTTAGGTAGCCCCTGGGAAAGGGTCATTCACCCCCAAAAGGATTACGACCCACAAGTTGAGAATCACTGACAAAGTCCATCACTCCCTCCGTACCCTGGTTGATCATCCATGGTTACCTTGTGGCTAAGGCAAGGGTTGGCCAGAGTTGTATGGAGTTAACTCCCATCCAGCACATTGAGAATGGCAGGGGTGATGTATGGAGGGAAGTCACAGGGAGAGGTGGGGTTCAATACTGAAAAAGTGTGAATTTTCAGTGAAGACTCTAATAATTTCTAGTTTTCAAACAGATAGCATGTGACATTCAATGCTTTTATTCAAACAGAAGATGTATGGCATTTGATGTTTCCAAATTTTACTATTTTTACATTCTTGTTTACTTCTCGCAA